CCCCAAAACCCCAAAACCCCAAAACCCCAAAACCCCTTTTCAAATTTAATTATGAATATTTAGTCAGCAATTCTTTCACTCTGATAATGTTTGAAGTTACTCTGATATTCAATTGTTGGCTAATTTAGGATAATGAGATGGAGCACTCATTAAAATATTCCTTCAAGAGCTTGAATAAACTACTAAAAGCAAATAAGTCTCCTTCTGTCTTCCTCATTTCTATGCAATAAAGGTTTTTGTCTGGAACCTTAAGAATATTCAGTGTAACTGAAGTTTTGTCAGTTGTCTAAAGCTTAATAAATTAACACTTACGCCAAGATCATCTGTTTCATCTTCTTCAGGAATCAACTCCATTGAGATGCTATATTCCTTGTCTGAAATTTTGAAGTTCCCTGCTGTATTTTTCGAAAAGTTAGCTCAAATGGTGAACAAGTCTTCTGGATCTGAGCTAGAAAAGAACTGAGTGGCAACTTTAGCTTCAGGATAGTATGGAGCAACTTCTCTTTCAGATACCTCTTCATTATCTTCACTTATCCCTCTATGGACTTCTCTTCATAATTCATCAAGACTTTGGTGAGAATCTGATATTTTTACTTCTTCACCAGTCATACTTCCTTGAATTATTTCTTGTCTAGAAGATAAACTGTGAATGATTTCATCATTTGTAGGGAGTTCTCCTTCAAACCATGGATGGGCTTTGACATCAGCAAGTGAGATCCTATGAATTGGGTTGGGCTGAAACATTCCTGTAATCAAGTCTCTGAATTCCTTTGTGTAAAAATCAAGCTTTAACTCTCTTGTTGTACAATGCATTTTCCAAAAATTTTCCATCTTATTTGCTCTAATAGCTTTGAAATAAGAATCAGGGTTCTCTGTAGATCGGAAAGGAGGTCTTTTTGAAACTAGAACGAAGAGAATTACTCCTAGAGAAAATACATCCGCGCATTCAGTACTATAAGAACCTGTATAATGTATCTCCGGAGCAGTATAATAAGAGCTCCCTTTATAAGAATCACTCATGGTTCTCCGAGAAGCAAACCCGAAGTCAGTAATTTTTATATTAAATTCATCATCGAGCAAAATATTTTCTGGCTTAAGGTCTCTATGGCTGATTCCTTTACAATGCATGGATTCAACCGCTGATAAAATTTGATGAAAGAACCATCTGGCTTCTTTCTCACTAAACTCTTCACCTCCTTCAAACAAGTATTGGAATAGTTCATATTGAGCAAGCTGCATTGCAATTGAGAACCTTGTTTCTACTTCGCCTTCATTAATTTTGACTTCTGATTGCTCGTTGTGAGAAATAATCTGAACAACATTTGGATGATCCAGTTCTTGCATAATAGAAACCTCTTCTTTGATCATTGCAAGTGTATGTACCTCATCATCAATATCCTCAAGTATTTTGAGGGCAACTCTAATCCCTGTATCTTTTTGTTCAGCCAAGTAAACTCTAAACTCTGGTTAAAACTATCAAAGCCAATTTAAACCCAACTCCTTATACTCTTCATAGCTCAATTATTTACCTGCTATAGGCTCCTTGGCCGACCATTCTTAAAATTCTGTATTCGTCTCAATAATCCATTTTAATTTATTCTATTAAAGTGTGCACTGAAGGGGTTTTGGGGTTTTGGGGTTTTGGGGG